AGAGAGGCCTGAAACGCCCCTGGGCGGATTCCTGGACGGGACTGGCTGGCTTTCTTACTGACAACAGGCTGCCTTTACTACGAAGTTTCGGGTCCACCGCTCGAGCAGCCCATGAGATGCTGAGGCTCTGTAAAGCCTTCGCATGTCGTCTGGTTTGCATGTCGAGTCTGCCGGATCTGCATATACTCTTTTGCAGTAGCGAGTCGGAGCAGCCGTTGCCGGAGTCGTCACCGGTGTAGCCACCGGAGTCGTTGCCACCTCCCGCGCAAACAGTCACATCTATACGAACACTACGCTGTCGGGTGCAATCTCCGCTTAGCCCGGCACACCAGCAGCCGACGCCACTGAAGCGGTCGGGGATGGCGGCATGTGCCCAGACGACGAGTCGATAAGACTGTCCTATGTGGGCAGAGGCAAACCCGAATCACCATTTCGACCCCTCGCCCACAACAAGACTTGATAACGAACACACGCGTCGGAAGCCCATGTCTCCGAAGCACCATGAGGTTTTTTCATGTTCTCCAGCTGATTCGGTTTTACGTCGATCGCCACATTATGCAGTATTATCTGTATCGCACTGGGTCATTTATTCGAAGTCTTTCAGAACACTCGATTAGGGAGGACGGACTAATCGAGGAGTGGTACGAGTCGCTATTTTCCACAGGTTCAGTCTCGTTGTGCAAATTCTAGTTTCCGCTGCTTCTTTGTCAGAGGCGAGGCTTGCCACGCAACGACATATTCGATGTGTTTGGTCACCTGGCGCAAATCTTGACCGACTTCTCCTCAATGGTCATTGGCACTGATGAACCTACGAGCACTTGCCAGAAAGGTGCAGTCGACCAACGAAGACTGTCGGCACCGAGATGAAAGCCGTGGGGAGTGACTGGTTGTGGCGCGGACATCGATGAACAACCTCGATGGTACATTCGGCAACTAGGGCCTCGGATCAACAGCGCGTGCTCGGACGATCTGGGGTTCAGCAAGCTTCGAGGCCAACTCTTCCCAATCATCTTCTTGTACGGAGTTTAAATGCCTGCCAGCTTCCGCTTACCGAGACGGGTCCACTACCGGCCCACCTTCTGCGGCTCGACCCGGAACAGCTGCGACTCTTTGTCTTCGTGCCGCCAAGTTTCTGGGAGCAAGCTCGGGTCCTGCAATCTGCTGAAGCCCCAAGCTAGAATGAACGATAGTGAAAGGATTGGTTCGTCGAGATATGTCTCTCTGCATGTCACGGGTCATGTCCAACCGGGCGAGCTAGACAGCGATGCCACCCCAAAAGGGTCAGCTTCTACAGAAAGCCATCAAGACACCTTCCATCTTTGCTGGAAGGGCATTACAGCATTAGGGCAGCATCGACCAACTAGACTGACCCAAGTCGTCCCTGCATCTTTGCACTCACGGCTCAAGCACAATTGAGATCTGGCCTGATGCCGGATGGGTGCCGGCTGGCCGGGTGTCTGCATAGGCGGCGTCACCCCACCTTGCGCATCGCATTTCCACGTACACAGCGAGGGCCTTGAAGGCGACTTCCCAGCCTTGGTGGCTGGGTAACTGGGCCGCCTGGGCCGCCTGGGCCTGGCTGCGCGCATGCGGCGCCCCAGGACCCCCGGGATCCGGAAGCATCGGCTCAAGAGCTCAAGAGGCTAAGTCTACGGAGATCCATTTGGTTAGGGCTCAGAGACCTGGCATAGACAAGACCGAGATCGTTTTTTCTTTTTCCGAAGTCTTGGGCTGATCTGAGCATAGCTGAGCAGGGTGTTGCCTCCGCGCACGGCGAGTGAGGGTTGTGGGCTGGGGTTCATGCCGGCCTACCTGTCGACTGTTGCTGAATCGCCCGCAGCTACTGCCTCCTGGCTCCAATGGCTACTTTGCACATGGTTTGCGGGTCATGAAGGATGAAGATATGCGAACAAAAACGTGTATCTTGAGCCAAGGTAGTTGGTCGGGCGAAAAAATCAAGAAAGTCAGACGCCGGAAGAGGGCTGAATAACAAGCGCCAAAGGTGCTCTTGCAATCCAAGTTCTCGAAACACCTGGACCGTACATCTCCTCACTCTATGATCCGAGAACCATCGAGGTAGTCAGAGATCAAGTCTGTATACCGTGTGACTCTCTTGGGACTGGGGCTTATAAATCCAGCAACCAGCACCCACACATCTTTTTGAGGGTGTGAGTCCCTTCACTGCTCCTGAACTGGAGAGCTCGATCTCGTCAGCCCTCTATGATACGCGGAAAGATGTGCTCCGCTGTTGCATAGTATGCAACAGTAGCAGAGCTGGCATGCTGCAACACGTCGTGACATCCTGCTGCTCACATGATGATACCTTCTTTCGGCAAACTGATCTACACGGCAACCATTTGCGTTGCTGGCTCCTCCGCGCTGGCGTAACAGACACAGTGGCCATCCAGGGTGACCCCAACACACTCAGCATGCCGCAGCTGCTTTGTGCAGTCCTCGCCGAGTAGAGGGCGAAGCAGCAGCTGTGGGAAGTGCAGCATTGCTTCTTGCCACTTGGTTGCAATTGTTTGGTTCGTCAGCTGCCTCGTCTGTCCACGCATAGCACCCACATCCGCCCAAAGCTTCTCGAAGTCGTTAACAACATCAGGCTGCACCGGCGGGCCTACTGTAGCAGTCGTGTGTCCCAGGACGATCGGGTCAACCATGCGTCCGTTCACTTTAAAATCCATGTCTTGCAACAGTGGACCGAAATCAAAGTCTCGTGTCGGACGCAACAAAGCTTTATCATTCAGGCCAAGCGCCCAAACCAATACCCAGCCCCGGCTTTTGGCCCAGATCTGCAAGTTCGCCCCTAGCTCTGTGCCGAAAAGCACGGGGAAGGTGCCTATCAAGAACCGAATCGCCTCAGGATAGTGCAGCTTGCTAAGATGTGTAGCCTCCAAGTAGTTTAGGAACGAGTGGCCGGGGACAGGACTTGAACCCCAAGGAAGTTGCCCTCTTTGTAATGCAGATTGAACGGTGCCACCGGACTTCCAGAATTCCATGTTGTTCACGAAAAGATGCTTGTTGTGCAGAAATGTGCCCAGCCCTTCGAATGCTCTCCCTGCGCTACAGTTGTACGACAACCTGGGGAAGGTCTTTCCACCGATGCAATACTGCTGAAAAAAACCGCTGTCGACTGAAGACAGCAAGGTGCTGTTCAAAATGTGTTTGTTCGAAAACACTGCAGAGACATCCCCATAAAGTGGGCTCCCTGCGTCAATCATGTTCAGGTTGACCATGGAATATACGGGCCTCTCACCAGCTTCGATGAGGGTTGCCGGCGCAGCCGGCACGCGAAATGGCTTTAGCTCATACTGAAAGGTTTCGGCCTGGTCTTGCATCAGGAAAGCCTCGGTGTTGTTCTTCCTAACATGGATGTGGCACTCCCCATCTGCCACATGGACTTGAGTGACCAGCGGCAGACGTGAAGGACACGGGACTACTCCCGTCCCAGCAGGGGATTCCAAGTCAGATGCACCCGTCTGGTGAGTCGCTGTCCAAATGGAAAGAGACACCATCTCACTGATCCCGCTTGCTGTTGTGAAACGCATTACAAAGCTCAGGTCAGCTGTGCCATAACACTTGTTCAGTGAGTAGCGCTGCCGCGGCAGCGGTACACCCGAACACCCACCAAACCACTTCTTCACCAGCACCTCTTGAAGGGTAGAGTCAACTGAATATGCTACGTACGTTGCTTCGATCTTGTGCCAGACACTGTGTGGATTCGCCGAGTGCAGCAAGACGGCTTCCCAGTCGTTGAGGAAGAAGGAGCCAGTCAAACCGAAACTGATTGACATGCCAGCCGAATCTCCAGTCTGGGATGGGTCATGCATGGCCGGGAAGCCAGAACAAACCTCGGCGACCTCAAGCCGCTTGGATAGCCTCTCCATCAGCTCTTCAGAAGGAAGGTTCACCAAGGACGGACAGCACTTGCTGAGGTGGGAACGGAAATCGCCAGAGTCCAAAAGGTACAGGAGCTTTGGCTCTGCTGCCCTCGACTGCTCCGATGCACGCCTAGCCACCTCATCGAACACTCTTTGCTGCCAGGCACTCATGTCCGTGCTCAGGGCACACGAGATGAGGAATGAGCACCATGGCACATGAAAACGCATCATGCTACGGCTTTAGAGATGCTGAAAGGCATCGGTGCCTTGATAGAAAGAACCGGCGCAGCAATGCACTTCATCAACCAAAGAAATACCAGCAGCCAAACAAGTGCTTACTGCTCCGTGCAAATGGTCTTTCTGCATCATCCGACTCCGAACAGTCACCCTTGAAAGAAGCTGGGCCCTGCCGGCAGATTCGTACGTCGAGGAATTCTCTGCCGTCCTCTCAACGGGCAGACTGACTTCAGCAGCACCTGTGGCCCTGACCATCTTTTTGAACGAACGAAGAAGTAGCCGCTTACTTAGCCTTTACCACAGCAAGTTTTCCACAGGCTCAAACGCCAATCCTCATGTTTGACGGTCCTCGTGGGAGGCCGAAATTCCGACGCATTCAATCTGAAGCTTCCTCTTGCCAGTCTTGGCGCCTATGAGGACACAGGGCTTTATGGGGCAACCGCGGCAACCCCACTCAATCAGCAAGCGCACTGACGCTGCCAACTTGGCCAATCGCCAGCTCACAGCATTCCACAAAATGCCAGCCTCCTGGATCACCAAGGCCCTTTCCTTTGCCGTGAAGCTGAAGCGAACCTGCTCTTTTTGGGAGCGAGCCGCTGTTGGATGCGAGCTTCTCCATACTGTTCTGGCTGAGTACCCGTGCATGTCAGAGGTACAGCAGTTTCAAACTAGGCATGGCGGACCGTCTCCAGACTATACAACTCATCATCAGGGTCATGGACGCGAGCTCCGAATTTTTGAAGCAGCAGCTGACGTTCCAAACCCAAAAAACTGCAACCTGTGTAGATAGTCTGAGGCGTGGACCTCGTTGTGACAAAGCTCGCCTGGCAAGCCTGTCGCCCACGACAGGGAATCCTTGCCTGACGCAGAAGTGGAGCTCCGCTCCCCTCCAGCTCCCCGGCTCCGTCAGCGGAATGTTGCATCATCTGCGCCCGCAGCTCAACCGAAACGCTGTACACTTCAGGCAAGAAGCCGTCGCATCAGGTGACACAGAGCACCACAGCACCTGGAGACAAAGCATGATCAAAGTCGGACATAGGAATGTAACAAGAATGACCACCTGGCTGATGGATTCTAGTGCCCATGCTTGTTTTGAAACCATGGTCCCTCCATGTCCTGCTCGCATGTCTGGAACCATCTGGAACCCATGTTGCAAATCCTCGACCAGTTCTACAGTAGTGGCTCTTTCGAGGCACCTTCCCGCACCCACAACCCGCAGGTCTACGATGCTGGTTTCCTCGTGCTGCACATCAACCTTGGCCCGACAATGAGTGTTATCACCTTGTTTCGGCTTCCATGACTTCACATACCATAGACGCATTGCGCTGCACGCAGGTCTGCATTGCCGGGAAGTCAGAAAGACCAGCGGATCAGGGGCCCTTGCCACGTGACAGACCACTATGTTGTCAGCCTGGGGCACTGGCACGTGAAACTGCCCAAACATTTATGAATGGAACGGACTCTTCGTGGGTGCGCTCTGCATGTTTCTCGTGACATGCCTAGGGCCGGGCGGGCTGTTCTCCTTACCCTCCCCCCGACCATGATTTAGCGGTGGATGTTGGCTGGGAGCAACTGGTCGTCTCTCCTCTCTCTCTCTGTTCTGCTATGTTCTCCGGGGTTCGGGGAGCTGGTCAGGCTCCCGGCGTCGCAAGTCGCGCCCCTGTGTAAGGGCCTTTGGGGGCTAGGAGAAAGACATGGTTGCTCGGCAAAAGACATCGATCCTCTCTCTCTCTCTACAGGGCGTGCAGAAGGCAGCGGTCCAGCTACCCTCTTCCTGCATGCTCTCTTGCTTGCTTGCTGGACGTTTGGGGTCGAGGGGTGCCCCCCGTACCCCCGCGCGCAATGTTCTCTCTCTCTCTCTCTCTCCGTTTCTTTCTGCTGGACGTCGTACGCGACCCTCAGGCCTCGGCCCGCCCAACCCCTCATATACATGAGTGAGTTGGCATTGGGGCCCAAAATGCATGCGGCACAGAACTACTACGAAGTATGCCCTGAGTTTTCTTGCAGAGAGCCCCCCGCCCCCCACCCTACACAGGCACCCCAATTCCAGGCCTCATCCCCGCGCCCCCGTGGCACTTATCGGGGCTCTCCGCGCAAGAAAGCTGAGAATAATCCCCATGCCGCTGCCTCTTGCTGTGTTCCTTGTGTCACTGATTGCCCTAACGAGCCCCCATCTCGTCAGTTCTACTTTCGCAGCCCTGTGCCAACAAACAGCGCAGTCCCCAGGCTAGATGTACATTACAGCCCGTTAGGTTTCTCTCTCTCTTTCTCTCTTTTTCTTTCTGCCACGGGCTTTGTGTGGAGATACAGGAGCTACCTACCGGAGGACAAGAGCGCGGAAGTCCAATTTAAGCATAAGCTTCTCTAGGTTTTAAATACATGACTAACACACGAGAAATGACACGATGTCACGGAAATATTGTTCGTTCTCTCTCTCTCTCTCGCTCTCTCTCTCCCGGGCTTCCCTGCTGCCCCTCCCTCCCTCCCTCCCTCCCT